GTCGTGTGTCGTGTTTCCCCCCCCTCCCCCCCCATCTATACTTCCAGTGTTTTGGTTATGTGATAATTTTTGTTGACTGTAACGACACTCGGCTGCTCAGAGAACAATTCAGTTTGTGTCTCAACCAGAAATCACTGGTCCGGCAGTCGGGATAGCTCCAGGTAAAACGTCCTAAGGAATCAGAGAGAAAACATAAAAAAAGCCCCAACCCCAAAGTCAAACCCAAAATATTTTGGTGGTCGCTCATGCCGAATGAGTTGCAAAAGCAGTTTGCTAATACAGTTTTAAGGAATAGTAAGACAATCTGGAGATGAGGTAGCAAGAGTGTAACCTGGACTTCCTTCAGAACTACAAATCTGAAACGTGCCTTAGGAAAGATACGCTAAAGCAGAAAGCAAGTTCGTCTTTACTCTTATGCGCACATCTCCCAAGCTCAGACTTCATGTAGTGAGGAAGACTTAGATGGTAAGCCACGTTCATGTAAATGCAGATCAGAAAGAGAGAGGTAGTATAAGTTGTTGAGGTAGCAGGCGAAGAGATGCTCACGTGGGCAGGAACAAGCAATACGGAGCATATAGAGTACTGTGATAAAGAAAGTGATTTGCTGATTGTGGGTTGAGCAAAGAGTGACATTAACTCTAATTACTTAAGAAGTATTTCCTCAATGTGGTGTTTCCTCGGTAGGCTGTTTCAGTTGCTTTGCTTCTGTGTTGTTACTGTCATGCTGAGGATATGTCCTGAACACTTTAGAATCTCTGTGGAAGATCGTTGAGCAAGTGCTGGGAAACCAGACACCGATTCTTATCTTGTGACACTATTGCAGGAAGGAAACAAACCACTCGGTAAAAATTGCAGGTTTAGTAAGTCGAGTATTTAAAGATGACAGCGACATTCTCTTTGTCAAAAGCTTCCTTTATGTGTGGTTTGTAGAGGCTCTTAGTGGTACTTGATGGCGGCTGTTGTCAGTAGACAACTGACTTCCCTGGGCGGGTTGCTGCTGTGAATGGCTCCTTATTTATATTCCAAAATGGATTTGGGTAAAACCTGTGCTGACTTCTCTCTGGAAGTGGTTTCCTTGGAGCAGAGTGGTGGTATGTTGCTTTGGGATGTTGTAGAAAGCTGTTGCCGAACTTAATTGCAAAAGAAAAGTTGTTTAATTCTTCTGTGGGGTTAGTTAAGGTAAAGTTGAAATATTCAACTAATTCTGTTGCTGTTTGGCTGGCCTTGGTGAACCAAAACACGGTGATAGCTGGTTCTCATGTAATAGTGTAGTACCTTTGAGAAGGGAAGTTGGAGGGTTGTAGGGCTCTAAGGCAAAAAGTAGAACTGTTCAGTTTTTCACGTTACTGTATTAACATTTTCCATTCTCATCCTGGTAGGCCTCAACAGCTCAAGTGTGGTCCTCACATGTTTTTTTTCCACTGTGAGTGTTTGTCTTTTTAATTTTGGGGGGTAAAATTAATTGGTATGCTGAAAGTTTTTGCTAATACAATTGAGAACACGCTGTCTGTATTTACTTTTTCTAAGAACTTAAGAAGATTATAATTACCCCCTCCAGTGGCTATGCATCAAGGAAAACAACTTGGAAAACAGTGTTTTGCATCAGGAGTGGCCTATTTTATATCTAGTTTTGCATTTCAGGGAGTTTTATCTTGGTCATCGTGTCTAGTGATGGCTATTTCATTATTGCAAAATGACAATTTTATTTTTTTTTTTCCATCTGAGTTCCTTAAGAGGCGTGTAGGCAAACTTTACACTTCGGTGGACTCACATAATACAGAACATGGGTATATAATATGCTCCCTCTGGCTTAGAGAGCCATCAGCTTTTAGCAATTTTTGTCTATATTTAAGCCACAGCTTAACAGAAACCATAAGTGTCACGTGCAAATAATAATGTGAGAGGAAGGTGCTATACACACACGAGTGATGTGAGTTACTGTGAGAAAAATGAATATAATAGTTCAGGGTTTGTGACCCCATAACTGTAGTTACTGGCCTGCATTGCCTTACCGGTAGGAAGTGCAATGTAGCTTATCCATCAGCGGGAGGGCAGCTGGCTTAGTGCACAGCCTAGCCGTGGTTTACTGCTTCTGCATGCTCACACCCCAACAACTTTGAACCTTTATGACTTTTGTATCTGTAGTAATCCTCCCAGGAATTACTATGGGCTGGAGAAGAAGTGTTGCAATGTTAGAAGGTTTTAGGATTCAGCGTTATTCTTGTCTGGTCTCAATCCAAATCCCAGTGAACTCCAGTAATAGATGTTAGCCAGACTGACTCAGCTAGAGTTGCTTCTGCCTTTTTTTATTGATTAAAGTAGCAGTTCTTCTTTCTAGTATTTAGCTCACTATCCTCAGTGTTTGACAGTTAATTCTCTAAGTATCTGTGTACTGCCATGTAGCTCTGTGTCTTCTAAGACTTGTGTTGTCCTTCCTTCTCTCCCCTCCCCCAAATCTATTATAATCCCTAATTCCCTCTGACATGAACACCTCCCAGGAAGAATGACAGAATACAGTCTCAGATAGCAAGTGTCCAATACCATCACTGGAAGA